TGATCCTTCTTCCTTCCCCGTTTGATTGAGGGCCCAGTAAGCTGGTCTGTGGCGTAAATGATGCATGAGGTCAGACTTTCATTTGCGGGAAGAAGGGCCCCAGACAGCGGGGTTATACCAACAATCTGCTAACAGTCCTGACGTCATCTCTTTTGGCCTGCTTTACCCCTTCCCTCCCCAGGGGGGAAAAATATGAAGATATTTTCTGGTGGTAAAGCAGGGTGGAGGAAGAGATGTAGATGCGGTCATTTGTGCTACCAGGCTAGTAACAGAAGTGACAGGCCGTCAGCCCCTGGAGGATGGTTGTCATGGCAACCCCTGGATCTAGAAGCAGGCCCCTTTTTGGTCATTGTCTGGGGTACAAAGTCCTTGTTCAGCTTTCAAAATGCTGTTAAAAAACACATCCCACAGGAGAGATCCAGAGACAGGCTCACATACACAGTCATCCCTTGGGATCTAGGGGGGTTGGTTCTGGGTTCCCCCATAGATACCAAAGTCTATGGATGGCCAAGTCCCTCATATAAAATGCTGTGGTATTTGCATATAGCCTGTGCATATGCAAATATGCACATCCTCCCATATAATTAAAATCAACTCTAGATTACTTATGCCTAATACAATGCAAATGCTCTGTACATTGTTGTTACACTGTTTTGTTTAAATGTGACAAGAACAAAAGTCTGTACACATTCAGCACAGACATAATTTTTCCCAGCATTTTTGATCTGTGGTTGGTTGAATCCACAGTGTGGAACCTGTGCATATGGGGGGCTGACCATTAAAAAAAAATAAAATAAAATCACATGAAGGCCAGTTCCTTCCCATCACTTTGAAATGGTCCAGTCAGCCCCGTTTGTCTGTTTCTCTTCCACCTGCCCAAGGCAGGACTAGGAGATGCCTGGTTGCCAGCAGGAAGCAGCCTGCCAGGGACCGGGCAGCCAGCCTGGGGTCCTCTGTGCAGTTTGTCCATTCTTCAAACACAGCTCCTGGGCAGTACTAATTAGCATGAGGTAACTCCCTGCAGAAGGGGAGGCAGGAATGCACCCGAGGGTGTGGAGGGTCTAGGGGTAGGGGGTGGGGCACATTTTGTGGCTTCCTGGCTGTAGTCAAACCCGCTGCTGACCTGAGCCAGCACCCCCACCCTTTCCACAGGAATCCAGGACCAGCACATCCAGACCCAAAAGAAACCGAGGCTGCCCCTGAGTGCCCTGTAATATCAACTGGAGCCTCCAGGAGGAAAATGAAGGCTTCCTGACCTTGCACAAAGGGAAAATAATAAAAGGCACTGGCTGGTCCCTAGACTGGTGTTTCTTCTCTGCACCTGGCTTCAGGCCAGAGGTATTCTGAGGCCTCATCATTGAGGCTCAGCCTCTCAGGGTTCCTTCTCGATTGCAGGCTGCAGCAGAAACCTCAAGGCACAACCACAGGAAGGGGCAAGCAGACACTCTCAAGTGAGGAAGTACAGAGAGGTTACGTGACTTGTCCCAAGACACACAGCCAGTTCCTGACAGAGCTCAGACTAGAATCCAGGACTCCTGAAGGCTGAGCAGAGAGTGAGGAACACAGCAATTGTTCAAGGCAGAGAAAATGCTGGAATGCACAGGAGGCCAAAGTAGACACTGAAAACCAGATTCTAAGACCTGTAGGACTCTACTGAGGTTATCTTTGGGGCACTAATAAAGTACCAACCATGCCAGGCACCTTACCGGACATGTCACATAATTCTCTGTGACAAAGCCAGTTATCCCCATTTGGCAGATGGAGAAATTGAAACTGGAGGGATATAAGTAACTTGTCAGAGACCATCAGATACTGAGGGAAGTGCCAACTCTCCCCAGCCCTTCTGCCCCCACAGTCTGGGCCTTGACCAGTTATGATGCTGACTTTCCTCAAAAGCAGGGACAAGGTCCTGAGTATCCCTCATTTATTTTAGGTCACCATTTGCTCAGACTGTAAGACACCTTCTAGACAAAGCTTAAGATGAAAAGTCATGAAACGCTCTGAGAGAAATGGATTCATGAGTAGGTTGGCTGGGATTACTGTGAAGATGTTGGATTAGTTTGGGGGTTATATGTGTGCTTTTACTGTGAGCTAAACACCAATATGCTCTGTTAGGGTTTGGCTATGAGGTGTCGCGCAAAGGCTCCTGCTAATGCAGGAATATTCAGAGATGAAATGAGTGGACTGTGAGAGCTAATCAGTCCCTCCTAGTTTGAATGGCTGGGTGGGTAGTTCCCATGGGCAGGGGAGTCATGGCTGGAGGAGGTGGGTCACTGGGGGCATGCCCTAGAAGTGATGTTTTTCCCACAGCCCCTACCCCTCTCTGTCTCTCCGTCTCTCTGTGTGTCTGTGTCTCCCTGCTTCCTGACCCCACCATGAGCTAAGCAGCTTTCCTCCACTGGGCCCTTCCCCTATGATACCCTGCCCCATCTTGGGTCATCTATGGACTGAGACCTCTGAAATGGTGAGACCCAACTCAACTTTCCTCCTCTTGTCAGGTATTTTGATCACAGTAACAACAACAACAACAACAAAAGCTAACTAGAACACTCCCTTTGTGTCTTTTCCTGACATTTTACATACATCCAGAACTCTCCTAGTAGCCCAGGCCAATGGGATGGGGTCAGTTATTACTAAATGTTACAACCAAAAAGTTTATTCAAGTTGGTCAGTCATTGACATTGCTGGCTGGCCGAGGCTCATCTGAATGCTGGTCAGGGCTGGATTCCAGAGGGATCAATGAGTTGGGGGATCAAGAAGAAATCTGAGATGTCCACCAGTGGGCAGGGCTCATTAATTCACTCCCCAAATCCTAACTCTCCCCAACCGAACAAGGCCTGGGCTTGCTGGCCAGCTGGGAAAAAAAAAGAACCCAGGCAATTGAGAGCAGGGGGGGAGTTCTATTTCCCGGGGTCCTCTGTGCAGTTCCCAGGCCAAACTTCACTTTTTCTCTATAACACAGAGCAATTGTTCTGCTTTTCACATCATCATATGATTGTATTTGAATAAAATGAGGGACACAGGGCAGTTTCAGGGCACATTTGCAATGCAGTCTACACACGAAGCTGTCCACAGCAGCCCTGCTACACTGCTGGGTATGGAGGGCACCTGACCAAGCTCCCTCCGTTGCCCCATTCTCTGTTCTGCCACACTCCATTAGAGAACTTGAGCCAATCCACCTGCTGGAGCCAGGCGCTGTGCTGCACGTGGGAGGGATGGACAGACAGCTAAGGCAAGGTCCCTGCTGCCCAGGGACTTCCACTCTAAAAAGAGAGACACAGATGGGTAAACATAGCTGCAGTGAGGTATGAGGCCTGTCATGTTAAAAGTGTGTAGAGGAAATGGTAAGGGCACGGAAGAGAGAGAAATAATCACGGGACAGGCTCCAGGAAGACGTGCAGAGAAGCTGATGTACAAACAAAGTCATGAAGGATGAATAGGAGCAGTAAAAATGCAAGAGAGGACAAAGGGGATCACCTATGTAAAGGAGTGCAAGATAGAGGGACATCAGGCCCTCCAGTCACACGGTAGGTGGCTATTTACCTGCGTAACTAGCATGATCAGGAGCCCAGGAAGAGTCAACAGCTCGGCCATCTGCCCAGCTCCTCTCTTCCTCTCTGGCCTGCATCTCTCTGGGTCTCTGACCCCCTTTGCTCAGGCCCTCTCCTTCTAATTCTGACCTCCAGGATCCTAATCCCAACCACATGTTTAGGATATACCTCCATGACCTTGACCTTTTGGACTCTTTTGGGCATAATCAACTCTATGACCTGCAACAACCTGAGACATTCCTCTTCCCCCTTCCACACTGTCCTGGGATACCCTAAAGGCCAGGCCAGCCCAACCTCCCCAACACAGACCAGATGTATCTGCAAGCTATTTGATGGAGCTAGAATAAAAATATAGGAGGAGACACCATCTGGAAGCAGGTAGGTGACCTGGGGAGCCATCAAGAGGAATGATGTAGGGGTCTAGCAAATTTCTGAGCTGCCTTCTCAGGGGTTACTCTGATGTTGACAAGGCAGAGAGAGAGAGAGGGAGAGACTAGAGCAAGAATTGCAATAGCCTGAGCAAGAATTGAGAAGAAGAGAAGGTGACTCCCCGGCCACTCATGGCTTGAACAACTGTGGACCACCCTGGGGAGCAAGGACCTTCGTCCCCCTTTACTCTTCCCCTGTGGCTCTAAAGTCCTCCATAATGGTCCTGATTCACATAATTGGAGGCTGCCTCCTACCCATCCTCATCCTCATTTTCCTTCTTCTCTTCCTCTTCTTCATCTCCTTCTCTCTCCCTCTCTGAAGCAATAGACTTCCTGCCTCTAGTTCAAACCTGCCCAATTAGAAAAAAATGGGGAGGGGAAGGAAGTCAGGAAAGGAAGCCTGAAGGGAAGGATGTGGCCACCCCAAACAGAGGCTCCCCAAGAAAGGAGGCCCAACCAAGCTTGGGGCTTTCGCAAGTCTGGAAAGTCCAGTACTCAACAAATATTAAACACACACACACACACACACACACACACACACACACACACACACCACTCTGTCATGCTATCACAAATTCTGCCACCTTAGACCTTGGAGGAGAAACTCAGCCTCTCCACCATTCTGCCAAGTGGGTGGTGGGAAATCAAGACCCAACCAACAGCATCCAGGAGTCCGTGCTGTGCTCCGGCTTCCCTTGTGACCAACCATCACCTTTACCATGTCCCAGAACTACTTCAGTGAGTCTTGGCAGGTTACAACAACCTGTTTACAAACATCTAGAATTCACAGGCACTCTTAGGACAAGGGACTCGGGGGCAGTTCCAAATGGGCAGCGAAGGCTTACTAAGAGAAACTGTTCCTCCGGGTCTATTTATGCCCATATAAACACTTGCCAAGGAAACAAGGCATGTGGGCATGCGCTGGCCCTGCAGGCCCTCGGGTGGCTGCAAAAGGCAACTGGAAAGTCACATGTCATAACAGTGGAAAGTACATATGCAGCTATTCTTAGCCCTGGAATGTATACACGGTCTCCCTGCCCAGAGGCCCTTGCACAAAGCTCTAGAAAACTGTGAAAGTGCCTTCAGCATAAACAATCCAGAACTCTCCCAGGACAAATCGCTTGCCAACTGAAGGAAAGGCCTGGGGTTTACGGTTTCACTCGGAGCAAGAGGTGGAAATTTTCTGGGGGGACAAGACAGACCAGGCATCGGTGGGTGTCACTGCGGCAAGACAAGGTAAATATCCCTACTGCTTACTTCTCTGCAGGTGGACTGATGGGTCACCCAATAGACCAGGGAGTTGCTTTTTCTCTACTTTCTACTGATTCCATCCTTAAAGTAAAACCCCAAGACTCTGTACAGTCGTGTGTTCTAACTATGGATAGATAGAGAGCTAAAGATTTAAACCTCACAAGGGCCCATCTCTGTCTAGTTACCGTAATTCCACACCCCCAGAATGTCATGCCTGGAAAAAGACTAACACCCAGACAGAGATGTTTAGATGAGTTTACTAAATGACAAATACACTGAGAATCTGGGGAAAGGCTCACACTTCTGCTGGTCAAATGCATGTACTCCAGGCTCGTGTTTCAGCCCCGGCAATCTAGTAACTTGCAATAACATTTTATCTTTGCCCCTCAGGTTAGCTAAAGATGCTGTTTGCCTATTACCTTTGAGAATAATCTTGACCCAAAAGAGATGTGTCAGCTTTGGGGTCTGGGGTGAGGGTGGCCTCCCTTTCTGGTCTTCACCGGGTGGCAATCTTGGCCACACCCACAAACCTCTTGGTGAGGGACCAGGTGCACACCAGCGAGAGTCTGCAGTACAGGCTGCTGAGGCCGACTTGACCCTTGCCGCCCTCTCTGTAGGATGGACGACGAGTCGCCAGACGAGCTGCTCTTCAAAGACCACAGCTTCTCCTCGGACTTACTGAGGCAGCTCAATGGCTTAAGACAACACAGGATCCTGACGGATGTGAGCATCTGTGCCGGTGCCTGGGAGGTCCCCTGCCACCGCAACGTGCTGGCCTCCAGCAGCCCCTACTTTAGGGCCATGTTCTGCAGCAACTTCCGGGAGAGCAGTGAGGCCAAAGTCCAGCTGAAGGGCATCGACTCCCCGGTGCTGGACTGGATCGTGGCCTACGTGTACACCGGGGAAGTGCGCATCGCGGCCGACAACGTCCTCGCCCTGATGGAGGCGGCCTCTCTGCTGCAGTACCCCAGGCTGTTCGAGGCCTGCTCCTCCTACCTGCAGAGCCAGCTGGCCCCCAGCAACTGCCTGGGCATGATCAGACTCTCGGAAATCTTGAGTTGCCAGACCCTCAAGGAGAAAGCCAGGGAGGTGGCCCTGGCGTGTTTCCCTGAGGTGGCCACCTCCGCTGACCTGAAGGAGCTGTGCGCCTTGGAGTTGAGAGACTACCTCGGAGATGACGGGCTCTGCGGGGAGGAGGAGAAGGTGTTCGAGGCCCTCATGGCTTGGGTCAAGCATGACCTCCAGGCCCGGAAGCGATACATGCAAGAACTGTTCCAGCAGGTGAGGCTTCAGTACGTCCACCCGGCCTTCTTCCACCACTTCATCGCCAACGATGCCCTCCTCCAGTCTTCGCCGGCCTGCCAGACCATCCTGGAGAGGGCCAGGAGGCAGATGTTTTCTCTGTATGGCTCCAGTGCCCCAGACTGCAAACCCCTGTGGCATGTCCCTCCAAGGAGCTCTTACCAAGACTTCCTCATCCTCCTGGGTGGAAGGAAGGACAACCAGCAGACCACCAGGGAGGTCCTGCTCTACAGCTCACAGACCGGCCAATGGCAGAGCCTGGCCAAGCTCCCCACCCGGCTATACAAGGCCTCGGCTGTCACCTTGCACCGCAGCATCTACCTGCTCGGGGGCATGACTGTCAGCGGGGGGAAGAGTCTGGTCAGTCACAATGTCTATGTCTTCTCCCTGAAACTCAACCAGTGGAGGCTCGGGGAGCCCATGCTGGTGGCCCGCTACTCCCACAGAAGCATTGCCCACAAGAACTTCATCTTCTCCATCGGGGGCCTCGGAGAAGGGCAGGAGCTCCTGAGCTCCATGGAGAGGTACGACAGCATCTGCAATGTCTGGGAGAGTATGGCCAACATGCCCGTGGGAGTTCTCCACCCTGCCGTTGCTGCGAAGGACCAAAGGCTCTACCTCTTTGGGGGAGAGGACATCATGCAGAACCCTGTGCGCCTTATCCAGGTAAATGGCTGGTCCTTCCCATCATGTAAGTGCATGAGTGTGTTTGCATATACACATGTGCGCGCCCATCCTACCTGCATGCACACACGGGCATACATATGTGCACACATGCCCATGTGAACATACATACATATACAGGTATGCACATGCATGCCAAAAGATGTACTATACACGCATATAAACATGTGTGTGCAATCCTGACACATATATACATATGTATGCACAAGCACACATGGATACATGCGTGCCTATACACACACACACACACACACACACACACACTTGTCTTTTGTAGGGAAAGAAGAGGAAGAGAGAGAACAAGACAGAGAGGTAGAAAGGGAAGAAGGACAATTTTCAGCAAGAAGTTTTTCAATTTTTGAATTTTTTTCAATGTAAGACTAATAACAAATACAATCCTTATCTACAAAAATTGTGTCTTCATTTGAGAAAAAAAGCATATCTAGAAATTCAAGCTAGAAATATTGAATGTGTCAGATAGTGAAGCCCTATAGGACTTTAGCAGATGCTTCTACCCCATATCAGTAAGGCCTTAAAAGAAGATGCCCAAGACTTGGACCACATCTACCCCAGACCAACTAAATCAAAACCTCACATTGTTGGATACTGACAGTGTGGTTTATAAGCCTCCAGGAGGTTCTCGGGTGCATCTAGTTTGGAGAACCCCTGCCTTAAATGAAAGGAGATATTGATTTCACTAATAAGCTCTCTGAGAAGCAGGATTACCAGAGGCTAGAATATTAAGGGTTTTCCAACTTTGTGCAAGTTTCTAGTAATCTCTGCATTCATCTACTATAGAAAAACTTGAATAACAAGTTTATCTTTACGTTTAAAGACCCCATGAGATGCAGTTCATTCATTTTAAGTGGTATATTGAGCCCTAGCCACTGTGAAGGCCTGGGGACATCAGAGGGAACAGTGAACTCCACCTAATCCTCAAGGACCTTGCAAGACAATTGCAATTCAGAAGCTGAATACAGGGGGACTTTAACATAGGGGTGTCCTAAAACCTTCTGGAGGGAATCAGAGAAGGCTTCAGGGGAGCTTTGGAGGGAATCCTGTGAGGCCCATGTAAGCTGACCTGAGCAAAGAAGCAGAAGGGAGACGGGGGGTGATGGAGAATTCAGCAGGGAGAAGGGCAGGGTTGGTGCTAAGAAAGCATGAAACAGAAGGGTCTGGCATAGGCGGGGTGGGGCCCTCTGCCAGCTGAAGAAGAAGTTAGAGCAGTACTGAGTAGTACTGAGAGGCAGGAGTGACCCCGGGGACCGGAACACTTGTACAAAGGCCCTGCAGCTCAAAGGGTGCACAGCCCACTGCCCCGAAGAACCAAAAGCCTGACAATGGTGACAGTGTCCTTGCCAAGCAGAGCAAGGAGAAGGAAGAGACAGCACCAAGGGACATGTATGAGTCCCCACACCATCCCCATCAGCCCTTTCCCAAGACACCCAGCAACCCCCTCCACCCAGACTGCTGCTCCTGAGCCCCTCCTATCAAAATTCTGGAACATTCTTAAGGGATGGGCATTTGTGGAGATGCGGCTGGTCTGGCAGAGTTTTCTAGGTCTTGTCTAGAAATTGGGATTGCAGCCTCAGTCCAAGGACAGGGACATCATGAAAGAGATCCATGCCCGTGAGAGCGGTCATCAGATTTTCATCTGCAGAAGTTCCTCTGGATGCCCCGTAGAGAAGAGCTGGGAGTGGGCAGGGGAGTCTAGTCAGGAGATCATCAAGTCCCAGCAGGAGAGAATGATGGAGATTTTTTTCCATTTGCCTTTACTCTCTAGCCCATGTTCATCTTCACCATCAGATTCTTAGTCTTCCCAGAATGACTGTCCCCAGTTCTGCTCATTTACTTGAGCCAGGAGAGACATATTAGGCTCCATTCCAAACTCCGATCACACAAAGTAGATCTGACAAAGGGCTTCTGTGTAAAGTGAACACCCCTCCCTCCTCTCTATTTTTCAAAATAGAAACAAAAAATATGCCCATGATGTCACATTGCAAAATTGTCATCGACCTCCTAAGAATAAAACGCACTGCTCAAAAAAGCTTTCAGCTAGCCTATCGAGAAATGCATAGTACGATCAAACAAGATCCCTGCAGAGCCAAAAATTCTAAACGCGTGAGTGATCCTGTTGTAGTATAGCCACGGATGAGGGAAAGGGGTCAAAGTATTCATTTGGATGCTTTTCTTATCCATTCAGCGCTAACTTTGAAATGGAAACTTTGCTCACTTGAATATAATTTAAAACGAGTGCTCCAAGGTGCTGGGTAGAGCAGGTTGGATTTCCAGGCATGGCCTTGGCATTTTTCTTTATGGGATGGTTCCTCTGTGTCCTGCCCTGTTTCAAGAGCTACCCTGCAGTGGGTATAGACTAGAACTACACCATGCAGACTGTGCGCGTGGGTCCCCCTTTCTACCTGGCTTTCTTCCTGCCTCCGTTTCTGGATGGCATTGGGCAAGTCCTTTACCATGACAGTCTCACTTGCTTCCCTGGCCAAAGACCCTCCTTTGTTACCCCTGCCGAAGTATTTCTGGGCCATTAAGAGGATTGTGAGCGAATGTTGAATTTATTTTTAAAACCATACCCAAAGCTGAGCGGGAACAGAAGGCCAGAAGGCAATTACTTACTTGAGAAAATGCAACCATGTCTGCTCTTCCCTGAGGACCCCGCTTTCCAAGAATGTGTCACCTGTGTATTTTCAGATGCAACCAAGAGGCTTCACACAGCCCTGTGCTTGCCCGTCTCTAGCACCCAGCCCCTCCAGGCTTCACCAACTTGAAGAGACATATTAGGCTTGAAGAGCTCCATGGAGACGCCAAACTCAAAAGCCTCTACAGGGAAGGCCACACTTTCATGGCCCCACACAGCCATGAGCGTGGTGCTTAAGAGTATGCTCCTTGTGCTCAACCAGACCGGCTCTTCCACTCAAGCTGTTTCACTTTGGGCAGGTCATTGAACCTCTCTGAGCTTCAACTACTTAATCTGAAAAACAGGGGAAATAATAGCATCTACCACATAAGATGATTGTGAAGGTCAATTTTTTTATCAAAAAAAAAAAATCTAGGAACTAGATTTTCTATGAAAAGAATTTCCACCAAAGAATATTGTACCATTTTTCTCTGTAAGTAAATGTTTTTGTCCCATCTTTTCTGTGGAGTCCATCCTATATCTCTTGTGCTAAATTTTTCCTGTAATGAACTAAACCCATATTTTATAGTTGAATTTTAAACTGAGGACATTACCAGAACATGCTCTAGGGACTATTTCAGAGCATGGCAAGTGAGCCTGCCCTTTCCTCCCTGGTCTTTCTTCTCTTTCTCATGCTTCTTTTTTTTTTTTTTCTGAGATTCTTAATTCCTTTCAGGCATAAACTGTTCAGAAGCCTTCCTCATTTAGCCCCAAATTTATTCTTGGCTCTCTGACCCTCTCCAATCCACCAGAACATTTAGAAATTTAAACATGAGCTAGAAATAAAAATGATTGGAAAAGTCACTGGTTTTCTAAATACCTAAGTTGCTCCATTTCTCAATAAAAGAAAAAAAAAAAAAAAAGGTTCCAACCAAGGTCAGCAAAATACATACCACAGGCAGAATTCCCAGTTCGTTCTAAAGAAGGACAGACACTGATCTTATGCGGTCACAGAAAGACCAACTTCTCATCCTAATCTTCTGTCATTTAACAATCTTTCATTTATTGATAGTAATCTAGCTACGCTTTTAAAACTGTAAAGAAATAGAAAAACTCGTGCCTGGTTCACCTTGCTAATCATCACTTCTTTTTTAAAAAAAAAAATTTCAATGCAGTGCTGTGATTTTGCTCCTCCCTCAGGTTTATCACATTTCCAGAAACACGTGGTTCAAAATGGAGACGAGGATGATCAAGAACGTGTGCGCCCCTGCGGTGGTGCTTGGGCAGCGGATTGTCATTGTGGGAGGTGAGTCTGAACGGAGACTCACCGCGCTGGACAGAAACTTGGCGCCTCTCATGGAAAAATGGGTCGCTAGTAGATGCTGTTCTGCAGGACGGTATTTTTAAAAGCACATCCATCCACGCGGGAGAGCGTGGACAGCCTGGCCAAGCTCTTTCCTCATGCAGCCGTTTGTCCCTGTCTTCATTTGTAAACAAGGGACAAAATAATACTGATTTCGCCAAGGTGTTGCCAGAGCACGTGAAGCTCAGAGCACTAACCAGACACTCAGTCGATAAGCAGTGATTGCCCTTGTGAACAGTATTGGCTCCAATGTATGACTTCTCTGTGCTTGCATAACGTCACCTGGTTAACAGAGCTGGTTTGGGGGTCAGAGAGGTCCTGGCTCTACCACTAACCATACTTTGGCAAGCTTTTCATTTTTTCTGTGCCTCGGTTTCCCCATCAGTAAAATGGGAATCCTTAAAGTGCCCACCATAGAGGACTGTTGTGGGGACCTACGTCTGAGTTCCCACAGAAAAGCTTCTTTGGGTTGTTAACTCTTGGTTGGGCACATAAGAGACAAAATGCCAGCAAGGCTGATGTGGGGGTACTGCTCCCCATCTATGGATAACTTACAATGGGAGGCAGGGCCAGGGTCAGAGAGAACTGGGTGCCAGCCCCAGCTCAGCCACATGCTGGACCACAGAAGGGTCCCTCAACATCCCACGCGTTAGTTCAGGGTCCCAGCCTCACTGTGAGCAGGGACAGACACATTGCAGAGCCGCTGACTTCCAGGCCAGACGGATGACACTGAGCTTGCTCACGTCATTTGATTTTTCAGGTTACACGAGGAGGATTCTTGCTTACGACCCTCAGACCAACAAATTTGCCAAATGTGCAGACATGAAAGACCGGAAAATGCACCACGGGGCCACAGTGATGGGGAACAAGCTCTATGTGACAGGCGGGCGGCGGCTGACTACGGACTGCAACATTGAGGACTCAGCCTCCTTTGACTGCTATGACCCTGAGACAGACACCTGGACGTCCCAGGGGCAGCTGCCTCACAAACTCTTCGACCATGCCTGCCTCACCCTCCAGTGCATACCCCACATGACCACCCATTCATGAAGTCCACAGGGAACCTTAGTCGAGACGCTTTCTGTTGCAAAGGACAGAAGCCCAGCTCCCAAGAGCCTAACCCTACAGGGATGCAGGGACGGACCCCTCTCAGGACTGAAGGCACGAAGGCCTGGGGGCCTGGAGCCAGGCCTATGGCCAGAAGTCTCTCCTCCCCCAGCCTTTCCCTCTGTCTCTACCTTGTCTCAATTAGGTCTCCTTCCTCGAGCTTCTGCATCCACACAGCATGAGGATTATCAATGACAATTGATAAACTCTAACTCACCGTCTCTAGCTTTGCATCTCCATTGTACCATGATCCACATATTTATCTTTAAAAAAGGTGCTGGCAGGCCCGTTTTGAATTCCATGCCTGCCTCTTGAGACAATCACTATTGCCAGAATGGTGCTACTACAACTGCCTAGTCTTGAATCAGGTCCCTAGGAACAGAAGTGGGGTTAACTCCTGTGATTGGCAGCCCATCCAAAACACATGCAAGGGGATGGAAGGAGTTCTCCAAAGGAAGAAATTCTGGATGGACAAAAGCACATCTGGCCCAGGACACCTTTGCAATCTGGAACAAGAGGGCTGAGAGACCCAAGAGGACCCCTGGAAGCATTTGGTCCAGGTGGCAGTGTGAGAAATTGGCTACAACTGTGTTTGTCTGAATTCTATGGATGTCGTATATTAAAATTCCAGAGAAGTATGTGCGATTCAGTATCTCATGTTTGCAAAACGATCTCGTACTGAAGGATATAAAAACAGAACAAAGCTGGTTTCTGGTGCCAAATGATGTTTTTCTCCGGCCTCTGGGGAGCTGTAGACCTGCAGAATTAATCTGGGTTTTCATTTTAGTAAATGCTATGAGAATTGCTCTTCCAGGGAAAGCCAACAAATTCCTTCAGTGATTCCAGGAAACATTACCCTCCAGAAGCCAGGGCTGACGAGCCCTGCGGCCCCTTTATCTTGAAGCACCTCCCACCCCAGCTCGGGCTCCAGTTGAAGAACAAGCTGAAGCTGAGAACAGCAGCTCTCCACGCTGCCAACTCTCACCACCACCTGGGGAGATGTTTGGAACCAGGACGAGCACCCTTCAAGATAGATGGATGGGGATTCAGCTAGCTGGGGCCCAGATCTCTGGATTTTTTATGTTTCCTAGATGAGAAGGTAAAGAACCACAGTCCTGCTCAGCTGTGGGCACTGAAGACCTCTGGTTCCATTCTCATCCTGTCCTGGCCAGCCCTATCCAAACCTAGCGTTGTACACAAAGGACCCTCCACCCCGTAGCAACATCTGGAACAAGTCTTGGTGCCCTGAGTGTAGAGTGCACCGGTGCCGGGGCCTCCCTTCCCACCGAGCTCTTTCGCTCCGGGTTCTGGACTTTTTCTTCCTGGTTTGTATTTCTGTGCCTCAGCCTCTCTGGCTGAGGGTGAAGCTCTGTGTGCTCCCTGGACCACCTGGCTGTGGGCCAGAGACTGGCTGGCCAGCCAGTGCCTGCTGCTCGGCCTGCACGCTGCCCCTGAGCTACTGGCTGGCATCTTACCCCAGCCGGTTCTGCTCAATCCCACCTCTCCCCGTCTCTGCTTGGAAAGGTAACCAGTGGCCATCAGGGTCCCCAAATCGGCATTTCCTGTCCTGTTGATCAGTCGGCAGCATATGACGTTGCTGCCCTCCCTCCATCTTTTACGACTTCTTCCTCACCTCGGGGACACCTCTCACTCTTGCTCCTCCTCCCCAGAGTTCCTTCTTGTCTCCTTCTCTTCCCAACTGCTAAACGGTGACGCACCCCAGGGCTCAGTCCCCATATCTTCTGTGTATCCACTCTCTCCCTGGCTGGGTGAGCTCCTGTGGCCCATGGATCTGCACACCACCCTACACCACTCACTAGCCAACTTTCTCACAAGCCTGCTCCTCCCAGGGCTTCTCCACCCTGGGGGAGACGGACACCTTTCCTGCACACACCACCAGAGTCCAGCCCAAGCCACTATCTTTTCTCATCTGCCTTCACCTTGACTTCCTGAATCTCCTCTCCACACAGCCACCTGTTTACCCTCCCTGTGCCCCCAGCCTTGGCACTGGATATTAAACCCAGAGGCAGTTTTTCACCATATTCCATCCCTAGCCTCTTTTTTTTTTTTTTTTTTTGAGACAGGGTCTTACTAGGTTGCCGAGGCTAGCCTCAAACTTGCCATCCTCTTGCCTCAACTTCCAGAGTCACTGGGATTACAGGACTGTACCACCATCAACTGGGCTGTTTGATCATTTAAAAACATAAATGTAAGTTGACAGAGTGGCAGAGGGAAAAAAAAAGACAAATATAAGTTGAAATAGGCCATTCCCCCTTTTTAAAGTCTCCTAAGCCTTCCTGGCTCCTGAGCTGACCCTCAGAGACCAGTGAGGTCCCTCCACCTGGCCACCAACTCTCTGCCTTCCCTCTCTGTCTTGTCCCCCAACATCCTGCTCTTCTCCCTCAGCACCAGTCTCTCTGACCCTCGGGCTCGCACATCCTGGATAAGTCCCCACTCTCTGTTTTGTACCTCTGTCCCCTGCCTGGAAATGCCTGCCCTAGATAACCCACCACATGGCCCCTCCCCCAATCCCCAGGCCCTGCTCTGGATGGAGGCGCCTCCCTGACCACCTCCATCTCACCCGTCAACAGGCCTCTCAGCGAGGCCCCGAAATAGCTCTCAGATACCTTCGGCCCTTTCACTGCTGCGTCTCCAGGACAAGCCATCTGTCTCCTGTCCAGCCTCCTAAAGGGACTCGGTGCCCTGCTGATCCTTCCCTGAGCCACAGCCAGGGCCGTCTCTACACAGCACAAACCTGAGCGTGCCGTTCTTCTGCTAAAAGTGCTCCAGGGCTTCCCAGAGGCCTTTGAACAAAGTCCCCAACCCTTCATCCATCTCCTGGGGCCTCCTGGGCCCAGCACCCACCTCTCTCTCAGACCTCATCTTCTGCCACTGCCCTCCCTACAGGTGTCCCGGGGCAAGCGTCCTGCACTACCCTATGCCCTGCTCTCTCTTGCTTCAGGCTTTGCAAGAGCAATTGCCACTCCCTGATAGACACCCCTCTGGACTTCACCTGCGACAATTTCAGTTTAGACCTCACCCACCAGATTAAAAGTCCCTACATCAGGGAGGCCATCCCTGCCTCCCACCCTGGCTGGGGTCAGCTCTCCTATTAAAAGCCCGTTGTGCCCCATGCATTCACCTCAAGACCCTCATCCTATTGGAAATTACTTGATCGTCTGTCCTCTGACTAGCTGCTTTTATCTGCCCCATTCTCCCTCCTCCACATTCCCCAAACTGGCCTCTGGGTCTGCATATATGTTGTAGAAGCTCAATAAAGATTCAGTGAATGAATGAAAGAACTGGCAAATGAATAAAGAAGCTAAATCCATATCATCTCTAGGGTTTTCATCTCAAACTCAGGGAAGTCCACACAGGCACTAGTTGAAGGCCCCAGACCCTCTGCTAAGGGTCACTCTGCCCTTCCCTCCATGACCCTTTCCTGCCCTGAGCTGAGCGTGGCGGGTCTGGCTGGTATGATGTGGTTCGACCTTCTGGGGTCCAGCCCAGAGGCTGACGGGCTTTATCCAAAGGACCCTATTTGCCTGGAATTGGAAGTGAGAGTCTATAAACTCATTCTGTGTCCTCCAAAAATCCTCCTGTCAGAGACTTGCTAACGCCTTGACTGGCTTTGCTTTTCTTCTTGGTGCAATAGTTGATAAACAGCCAGCGCCTGTGGCCTCTCAAAGCTTGTCCAAGTCTCCCTAGGGGACAGAGGAACTATGTAAGTTGCCTCCTGGGATTCATAAAGGAAGATGGCATCAGGGCCAAACACTTTGGAAAACACGTCACAGGCCAGCAGTGTGTGACCAACCCAGTGCCTTTGTGGCCGATGGATCCAAACACCTGGACCAACCCAAAATCCGAGTTGAGTTGTAAAACAAGGTCAGCCTGTGAGGGGCCCTTCTCCATCTGCCGAGGATAGTCTGTCTGGAACCAAGGAGAAAGATGGTCTTGGCAGGAGGCTCCCTTGGCCTGGCAGGCTGGATAGAGTCACAGTCCATAGCCAAGGTCAAAATATATTTAGTCAGCGGCAGTTAAATGGAAACATTCTAACTTAAAAAAAAAATGTCAGAGGACCTGACTAATTATCTCAACAGGCAGGAAATGATGCTCAGCAAGAAAACACCAACAGAAATACCAACGGCCCCTTCCACCCTGAAACAGGAGCACAGGAACCAGGGAGAAAGGAGCAGTGGCAGGGCGCGGGCAGCGAGGGGGCAGCGAGAGTGACCAGAGGACGCTGCGGGGCCTCAGCACTGGGCAATGCCACCCGGTCCCAACTCCCAGTGGGCACTTGAAAAGAAGGCCTGGCTCTCCTGAGGCCACCGTCAGGCCCACAGGCCAGGACCTGGCCAGCAGATGCTGCGTGGGATGGTTCCCTCACAGAATGGCCTGTCCCTGGCAGGAAAGAAACTCTGCTTTCAGACCCCTCCTGATTCTCTGCCCACAGCAGGGGTGGCTCCAAGGGTACCTCCCTGGCACCCAGCCTGGAGCCTCCAGTCCCCCTCCAGGTGGCTACCTCTTCATGATCCTCCTCACCCTCTGCTGTAGCCACACCCTCTGGTGACAATACAAAGTCCCAAGTATCCACCTCCTACACTCAAAGCCCAAAGCAGGTGGAATTCTCCTTCACCATCTCTAACTAAAATCCATAACACCCCAGAGGGCAAACTGTGCCCAGTTTTTCATGAATGCTTCACCCTTCCCAGGATGCCTGGTCCCTCCTTCAGACTCCACACACTATGCACGCCATGTCTCTGTACCTTTGCACATGCTATTCCCTCTGCTGGATGCCATTCCCTGCCCTGCCTAATGAACTCCCACTAGACCTTCACCTCTTCTGCGGTGCCTCCCCTGCCTGGCTCTAGCCCCTTTCACTCTCTAGCACCATCTGTGCAGGGGTGCTGGGGAAGGGCCCTGCTTTCTGAAATGTCAGCTCTCGCGCAATCTTACAGGAATTCCAGGCCCCTGTTCAAATGCTACGTCATTCTCTTCATGTGGGTAATTTGGTCTTTGTTTTCCCTGAAGATAATCATGAGTGTCTTTTCCTCTTCGTTTCACTTGTTTGATTCAATTAAAATGCCAGGGCCCGTGACCCTGAATACCCCGGTGACTCCCCACCACACAACAAGTCAGTGGTCTAGAAAATGGTGTTCTGAAGACACAGACAGGGATTCAAGAGTCTGAAGGAAGCTAGGAAGAGGCAGGTTGGCAGGCTCATCTCAGAATAGATGAGACCAGACCGACTCTGGTCTGAAGTCCTGGCGTCAACCCAGCTCTGAATCCACTAGCTGTGAGGTCTTGGGAAAATGAATCAACCTCTCTGTTACTGTTTCCTCATTTTTCTCTCTAGCATAATACCAGCCCCCTCAGAGAGCTTTTATGAGGATTAATTGAATTGACATATAAGTGCTGTCCATGAATTAGCCATTATTACTACTAGTTGTGTGGCCTAGGAAAGATCTCTTTGCCCCTCTAAGCCTCAGTGTGCTCGTTGGTAAAATGGAGGTGATGATCTCCCTGTGCAGTGGGTTAAAAGCCTCTCCTCAAAAACAGCTATGATTGTATTTGGGAAAAGGACTTTGAATATATAATTACTAAAGGATCTGAAGATGAAATCGCCCTGGATATCTGGGTGGACCCTAATTCCAACAGCGAGTGTCCTTTAGAGAAAGGCAGAGGGTGATTTGAGGCCCAGGAGATGATGGGCGAGGGCTGGGGCAGGGGTGGGTGTCACAGATACAAGCCCAGGAATGCCAGAGCCACCAGATGTTGGAAGAGGCACAGAATGCTCCCCCAGTGGCCTCTGGAGGTAGCATGGCCTTGTCCTCCCTGCTTTCCCACCTCTGGCCTCCAGGACCGGAGCAAAAGTACCACGGTGTCTTGAGCCATGTTCAGAGTCATCTGTCCCAGCAGCCACGAGGACCCACGAGGAGCTGACACACGCCCTCCTAGGACCGCGCAGGCACGGGCGAGGTCCTAGGTGTGCACAGCCAGCAATGATCTTCGTTGTTCCCATCCCTGCCCTGGGCCTTGGTCTCCCCCATAAAACGATGATACAAGGTCGGGCAAAGGTGGCTGGGCTTTGCCGCCTGGCACTGGCTCTGCCACCGCCGACTCCTTCACAAGGCAGGAGGACTACCTGATTCTCCATCTCCCTCACCCTCCTCCTCACTCCAGGGTGCCCGACAGGCAGGGTGTCGCATTCAAGGGCCTTCGCCTAGCTGTGTCCACTGCAGAGGACAATGGGCTCTGGATGGTCACCCTCTGGCTCTTCCCACATGAAGGAAGGCTGCAATCGACTCTGTCACTCTCTCCAGGACATGGTGGCCCAGGTGACATTTTAGGAGTTGTGATATCTTCCTCCTCCCACTCAGGGCTCAATGCGGAGGAAACCCTTAAGAAAACCATATAAATATTTAAGCCAGAGTTAATAACTGAGAGGTGAGAATTTCGGGTATACAAGTGAAGTGTATCACACGTCAGCAGAAAGGCAGGGACAGGGACAGCACTCTGAGTGGCTGCAGGGCGTGGGATCCAGCCACCTCTCAGCCAGACTATGCAGAGAGATGGCCTTTCTCTCTACCCCATCCTCCCCCTTCTACCCTCTCCCCTGCCACCAGGATCAGAGGGACAGTCAGGGTGGGGGATAAACCCATCTGTCATCTAAAGTCCCTTGTTTAAACCCCTTCATCAGTTTCCTACCTCAAGAATTCTGGCTCTACCTCTAGGCTCTTGAATTCCTTTATGTGTGAAAGAATAAACAGTCTCCATTGGATTAGATAAGAATAAAATGGAGGCGAGGCCCCTCGGCAGGTGCTCAGGCCCAGAGGAGCGCTCTCACACATTTGCCTGTGGACAAACAACGCTTAGCTATTAGCTACAGACACATAGAAACAGAGACTTCAGAGATCTCCAAAGCCTGGCCACCACGCCTCATCCGCTGGGGACACGGTGACCTGCTCTCCGTGCCTAGGACGGGAGATTTTTGTTCCATGAGGGCTGAGCCCTGCGGATGTGGCCAAGGCCCTTTGTTTCTCAATAAAAGTTTTCAAGGAAATACTTTTGCCCTCAAAATCGCCCTCTTCTTTTTGTCTGGAATGATTTATTTTATTATTCAGTGGCT